ACAGCAGCATCATTATCTCCCTCTGCTTCGGGTAAATAAGGCTATTGGTTTAGGCAATATTTGCATGGTGCTAAAAATATGTACATTTGAGTCCCTGGATTCCAGGTACCGGTATTGTACTGGTTCAAATGAGAATAGTACCCAACTCCATAACTAAAACCAGATGTGCAAAGGGTCTTAAGTCCTATTATTTGGTATGATTATAACTGTCATAATAAATAACAAGAAGTAAAAAAGAAAAATACCAGGAAATAAACAAAAAAAAAAAACGAAAACAAAGGGCTAATGATTGATTGTACATTAATGGTTTATTAGATTCAAATTTCTTTCATCAAATCAATTCAAAAATGCATTTAAAGGTCATGTTACCGCTGTCCACTGCAGGGTTCCTGCTTTATATTTTTAGGGAAGCCTCACTGGCATTTGCAAGAGAAATAATGCTGGAGCACAGGCATGCAAGAGCAAAAACATTAATCAATTGAGTCCAGCGGAGGATTATTTACACTGTTTAATGGCAACAAAATTGCAAAATGAACTTCACATGCTTTTGTTTTTAAATATAAATACTCAATAATCTCCTTGTTATCCCCATAATAAGCCCATTTAGCAATGCTGCATGATGAAGAGGCATTGACTTCTCTGCTGTTCTTGGAAGGCAAGGATTTGATAGTAAAAAGTCAGGGTATAAGGCAAAATGCTTCTAACATGATACAAAAAGACATGCCTGCAGTTAGCACCATGTATATTAATACACATTATCGAGCAAAGTTTTAACTGCAATTTAAGAGCAATTAAAAAGTCCTGCTAAAAGCACAGAGTCTTTCCTATCACAATGTTGGATTAGACTAAAAACAGAGAGCCTCATCACAGCTAGCGCCCATTTCAAAGAACGAAGTGGAAAATAGTTTAGCAGCATGAGACAGCAACATACCCTGTTTTTTCGTGATTGTTTTAGACCTCCTTTCATTGGAAATCATTAATATTTTGCATATTGTATTCATTCTTTTTCAGTAAACTAATAAGTTTTTGTTATACAATATACTGCAGATATGTTTCATTAAACAAAATAAACTGGTTTATTAAAGTGATTTTTTTACAGCAGGTGAAACAGCACATTTTTAAAATACAAGGATAATCTTTTTTCAAATGCATACCGGAAAAAACAGATACAGTATTTAGCTCTTTATGCTATGAATAAATCCTCTTGGTACAAGAGAAAAGGAACGTCTTTCTTAGAGAATGGCTGCCTATCAATTAATTATTAGTCTATCGTTGAGATCAGTCAACTTTAGATGAATTTATTAATCTTGCATCCCTAGTACATATCCATCTCTATACTTCTGTTTTTTGTTGTTTTATTTGTCAGACAGAGTTGGTTTGATGTTTTTTGCTCTTTATTTATCTGCATAACCATGATAAAACAGCAGAAAATTTTATTTTCCAGAGACAAAAAAAAAATACATTTTTACATCAGTACAAGGACATGAGTAGTAATCATAAGTCCTCAATTCATAATTAAAAAACTTTAAACTAGTTTGGTATCTTGAATAATAATGATGAACTATAATATTAACAGTGAAACTGCAGTCAGTACAAAAGTTCTATTTTATTAGCAATGTGCTATGCACCCAAGAGACAATATATTATGTCTTTATGGAAATTAATTGCTCATTGCTTCCCTCAGTGAGTATACATAAATTGTACTTGTGTGCTCCATCAGCATCTCTGGAATGCACATTTCGCATATTAAAGTAAAATTATATGGTGCAATCGATATAAAACTGTATAGTCCTTAAAATAATTTAACTCTGTACAGTTAATATATGAAGCATGCACTATAGAAGCCAAGCCAACACTTAAAACCACTGAGGTGTTAAACAGCGTGTAGGTTTACAGGCTCAGTGGTTGATTGCTCTTATGCATCTGACCACTTAAAAAGTTTATTTTCTCACAAATGCCCTCTATTTGCGGTTCTTCTTTCCGGATCAAAGGAAATGTCCAATAATTGTTTCGGTTCTTCATTAGCACATCGTAAAACACCTATTGGCTAACTGAACATTTCTGATTTAAATACACAAAAATAATGACGCCCATTTGCTCTTTTTAAATGTTCCATAAATTCAAAGTGGTTAAATGCATCTTTAATTGGTGTAAATAAATTTGTTTACAGTGAAAGGATTAAAAACCTTCCCCAAAGCAAATGCATCCTTTGGGGCTTTTAACCTCAACAGCTACAGCTGGAATTTCATTAAAACTAAAGTGGAGATCAAAATTAGATCAAACCCCTAATAGAGTAAGGCACAATGCACTCGTTTTAATCCTGTTAAGATCTTTGTGGTTTTACTATTTTTCTGGTGTGAGTGAGCTTCCTGATGCAGAGACCATCTTTGCAGGTGGCTGGGCTGACCTGTGTTGCTGTAAACCTGAGAACTTTTTCTCAATCAAGATGACTTGTGTGTATATAAGGGGGCAAATGATCATCTCTCTTCATCTAATGAATACCCCTGATGGTATTCCCTCCAAAGACCTAAGCAAAGGAATATCTTAAGGGGGGAGTGTTGCCCTAGGGCAGGGCTGCTCAAGTCCAGTCCTAAAGGGCTACTATCCTGCAACTTTTTAATGCAACCATTTTTAACACACCTGAATCAAATGAGTGGCGTGTTACCACGCCTCTGCTGAGCTAAATAAGTGCTTTTGATTCAGGTGTGCTTGAGATGAGATGCATCTAAAAGTTACAGGATGGTAGCTCATGAGGACTGGAGTTGAGCATCCCTAGCTTAGTAGATTAAAGGCAGAGTGCTTGTGCTCTGAGAAGGTTACAAGTATCTGGTTCGATCCCGACAGCCTCCATTCTTGGTTCCTGAGCAAAACCCTTATCCTCTGATGCAACCTGGGTGCCACAGAATGGCAGCCTGGTGCTCCCCAAGGGGATGGGTTAAAATGTAGAGAACAAATTTCACCATGGTGGGACAATAAAGAAATTTACATTACAGCTGTCTTCTTGTGAATCTCTTTAATCTGGACTCTGTTATTGTTCCACACAACCATTGAACATCAGTTTTTCTCCAATCTTAATGGAAAAGGTCTTACCCGTGTGCAGCAGCTCTCGGTCTTTATCACCTTCCTGCCTGTTCTCCAGCACAAAGTCTCTAACAAGTCCTAACCCTCTAAGATCTCACTTCATTCTCCTGGACCCCTGGGGTTCAGTCTGCAAAGCCTGCTGAGTCGAACCCCTGCAGATCCATGCTACCTCCCCTTCATCTCTCAAATAAGCAAATCATCTGCTGTCATCAACCAACTCCTTCCTGATCAGTAGTTTTAAGCCGAGCATACACTGTGTGGTATTTTCAATGCAGCTACAGCTCAAACTGTACGACGAAACCGCAGGGTTTAAAAGTTCACAGCTCACGATGTATGTTCTCGAATTGATGCGATCGCCTGCTCACACTGCACTGAGAGATGGGACTGGTCGGACTTTCAAACATATTTGATTTTCCCCAAACTAACGATTTCTTATTGGGAGGTGGTTGTGAGAGGCTGATCGCCCCTTGTTAGCCCCTGTATACTACATGACGCAAGACGCACAAGGAGGCTGAAACTGAGCCCGATCCAAAGAATTCTCGCACGACTGAAAAATCGGCCTGAAAAGGGCAAAAAAAAATCATATAGCTTATGCCCGGCTTTATTCCCATCAGACCAAGCAAAAAGTTACAGCTGACTCCCTGCAGTTCTCTGCTTCCAGATTCTTGTTTGCTTTTGATAAATAAAAATTAACATTGACTGGTTCTCTATGTGATTCTCCATGTGGGTAAAAACAAAAACTACAAACCAACATGTCAGTTATTTTTTACCAAATAAGAAAAATACTTATTAAAGTCGCCTGGCCAGATTCCAAATAGGAAACTGATATATTATCTATGGAGGGAGCTAAAGATTAGGGTGATGGCAACAAGGCCTTCCAACCTCAAAGAACTGAATCTATGCACCAAAAATAATACATACTGTAATAACAAACATTTAATTTTTCATCGCCTTTAGTAAGATCTCTTATTTCTACAGGACCAAACCTTTTGGTTGCATGAAAATAACTTAGACCACATAATGAAAAATGTATGAATAATTTTAGGTTTAACTGTTATACAACAAACTCCTTCTCACATAACAGGCGACAGAGTATCTCAGGTTTTGCTAAACCCATCATCTGTGTGATACAGCTATATATATTATCCTCACACCTTAGAACAAACAGAAAGTATTGCAACAATAATTCTTTAGATATAAACAAAGTAATCCATAATTCATTTCTGGTTAACCAGGAATGCACCAGCAGGAAGGTAACAAAAGGATAAGAACTCTATTTCTACATCTCTCTGAGACAAATCATAAGCCATTAAAAAATAATACATAAAAAATAAAAACAAAAAGCAAGATAAACCAGATTATCTGCCGAGAATGCAACTTCTACTAAGGCAGACAAGTGGACAGTGAATGAAACTCCAGTCACACACTTAGGGCCTGATCCTCTGAAGTTGTACGTGTCTTAAAACAGCTGCAAACGTGTTTGTATGTGCAGATTAGACCTTTAAAGAAGGTACAAAGGGAGTTGCATTTGCAATTCAGCAGATAGCATGTGCAAACAATTTCGGGGGTGATAATTCGCATTGCTTGCTCCTCACATTAGGAATACTTTTCATCAGTGATAAATGTGGGATTTAGGCATCTTTGTTTAGACTTGTTGGGTAAAAACTTGATGCGTGTAAGAGAATGTTGTTGGATACAACCGGATCTGCAGTGGAATGACACATACAGTATATGCCAAGCATATGCTGAAGGTAGTGACAATGACAGTCTGTCCAACCTGCAAAACAGTTATATGGCAATAGACTGGATAATTTCTTCAAAAAATAACAATCTGGTGTATCTATCTAATTTATATGTTCATTAAGTTTTAATGTGGTCTCCTGTCATGGAAAAGAGTGTGTGTATTGTTTTTGTCCTACCTCCAGATATCTCATTAGCGCCGTCAGGAGGTCTAACTGAATCTGTAAGCTTTTGGGGTTCAATTTCATCTCTTCCATCACTTTCACCTCTGGCAGCTTTTTTAGCTGGAATGGTAAAAAAAAAAAAAAAAAAAAAAAAACAGAAATAGAAATGTTTTATTCCATTAATACAATCTAGTTAAATATTGGAAGCATACATTTTAAAGAAAGGTTGACATGAAGAAAGTATTAATTGAAATATTGAAAAAAAAAATATATATATATATATTAGTGCTGTCAATCGATTAATTATTATTATTATTTTTAATCGCGATTAATCGCATCAATGCCTGAGTTAACTCGCGATTAATCGCATTTTAATCGCAAATTTTTTTTCTGATTGAAAATCATTTAAGTACTCTCGATGACATACAAAAAATACATACAGGCTAGGTTTGTGCCAATGTTCTTTTTTTAAAATGAAAACAGGTCACAGATACTGATTTATGCCATAGAAACATATGGCAAGGAGATGGGGAGGCATGTAGCAAAAAATAACAAATATGTAGCCAAAAAAAAGGCCCTGAAAACAGGCTGATGTAAAAGACAGTCTTTACAGTTAATACAGTCTTTTGAACAAAGACAAGCATTTTACCCTACTGCTATAAAATGTAGTACAGTTAACATTAGATGTTAATTAACCAAGATAATAATGAACAATTTTCAATCAATACATCAAAATAGTCTATGCTCTAGAAAGTTACTTTTCAGCCTCTTAACAAAAATGAGAACACACACACACCCACTCACCCACACACAGACACACCCACCCACACACACACACGATACCGACCTGTGGCGTACAGACAGCAAGAGTGCCGTAGCAGATTCCATTTCACCTCAGTAATCTGTTTTCTCAGCGTATTTCAGGTTGCTACTAGTTACCAGACACTCAACTTGTTTGTTGGTGGTGGGGCTTAAAGAAAAGGCACTAGCGTCACCCAGTGTATGAGCGTCTTTTTCCCTTGAGGAGCTCCGCTCTCGAAGCCTATGAGAAATGCATAGACTGGGGGAAAATAGCCCCGCCTTCCCGCAGGCTGCAGCGGGATGTACTTGGGAAATTGTACCATGAAACCACATAGCGTTAATCTCACGTTAAAAAAATTATCGCCGTTAAAATGGCCTCGCGTTAACGCGATAATAACGCGATAATTTTGACAGCACTAATATATATATATATATATATATATATATCAGAGGCTGACAACAAACAGGCCTGGGCCCTTTTTTCATTTTCAGAATACATAAAAAGAAATATTAAAGGTAATTTAAAAAAGGTATTTATTTATCAACATGGTTTACTAAGTCTTTCCATAATATAAACAGACTTCCTTAAGGTGCGTTCACACTAAACACAATTTTGCACCCAGAGGGAATTATTGACTTGTTATCCCTATGTAGATGATGGCCCTGCAAGGGGATTGAGGTGAAGGTCACAATTCTAGCGAGGCGAAAGGCAAGCTTTTGGCAAATAAAGTGAAGAGGGAGTGTTCCTCTAACTACAAAATACCTAAAGGGAAATTTTCAGAAGTAAAGATCTGAACTTTTGCGTATATTTGAGTTGCAGCCTTTTTTAAATCAAAATGGAAGATGAAGAAAATAATGTTGATGGTGGGTGAAGCAGGAAATCCTGTTAAGAGATTGTAGGTAAATGTAGTTTTACTCAGCAAAAAACATAAGAAATGTTGTATAGTAGGTAGTATTTATGATGCATAACTGGCTTAGTTCTTGACCTGTGTTTAGAAAGCAGAGCATAACTGAGAAAGCTTTACAGAAAACAGGCAAATTTTCAAAAATTTCTTTAAAAGTTCTGAATTTAGTCATAAAATCTCCGTGGTCAGAAATAAACAGGTAATGTGCCATTTTCTTGTAGTACAGTACCATGGAACTTTCAGCACACTAGATGACAATAATTGAGGCAGCTACCTAATAGAGCCTATCCTGTAAAGCAACAGCTGGGAGCTTTACTGAAACTCTTCTACACACTTCTAGTGAATCAAGGTGAGACATATTTAAATGAAAGTACATCTTAAAAAGTGATCAGCTGAAACATTTTTATCAGAATCAATTTAAGTTAAATGTATGAAAATGCTATTTCGCCGGTAAGGATATTGATAAGCCGGATCTGTCTTCAGGATTTTAGCAGCTGTGACAGAGAACTGCAGCCGGAAGTGTTGATTTCAACCAATTAGTCTATCTATTTATAATTTTTTAACTTTCTTTAATTTTTAACTTTCACTGTAGAGACTAAGAGTAGCATTGCTTTTACTAGTATCAGTATTAATATGGACGTTTATTAATCAGCTCTGCAGCAACATACGAATGCCTCTGCAGCATAAATCCTGCTTAAATTCAGAGCGCTATTTGAGTCTTATCCCTCTTGAATTTAAATGTTTTTCTGTTTTTTTCACACTAGATCTTGAACTTTTCTTCATTATTTTTATAAACTTCACTAGCAGGTTCTAACTGGCTTAGTCCATTACTTCCTTCTTTACCACATGCACCAATACACTGTATCATTCCTTCTGCCAAGCGATGTTGTAAATGTAAATACAAATAATGGGCTTTATTTTCTAACTAATTGAGCAAAAAAATAATAATAATCATAAAACATTAATATGGGAGTAACTCATAATCTTTCAGAAAACCTGAACAATAGGCGTAAGCTACTGGCATATAAAAGTAAAACATATATAAAATGTGAACATATGTAAATACTATATCCCTTTACTAAGTCTACATTTCAAATGAGGTGATCAGAGGGGATAAATGAAATTCAATCATGTTTTGATGTGGCAAATGTCTTTTTGTTCAATTTCTTCTGGGTTTTATTTGGTCTCAAAACATTTAATACCAAAAATAAAATACGGTTAGTCAGATTAAAGATGAGGCAGGTCATTTAATGCAAATCAATTTTAATTAACAACTATAATAAAGGTTATGTCCATTTGAAAATACATAAAAGAAATACATTTCAAAAATTAGATTTTTATTCCCCAGTTTTCTTTTATTTATGTATGTATTCATCTCCAGACCAAGAAACCAGAAATGTAAAAAAACTAATAATTTAGTGAGATTCTTTTCTACATATTTCATTATTATGATAAAACATATTCTGCTGTTGTTGTTTTTTTAGTTTTGTTTTTATTTATTTTTTATCTTTTGTTTGAATTATGCATGAATTGGTTAAGTATTCTGTAATCTGAGTCTTTATCTTTTCTGGATGACCTTGGTTGTTAACTCTACCTAATCTCTAAGTGCGTTTAATATATTGAGGACTAAATGGACCTAGCCTTTAAATACTCAACGTCAGTAATAGAGTTCTTGTTATAATACCATCAGTATTACAAAGTTTTTTTTAACATTGCAGTGGACAGTCACAGTCCTAGAAGTACACTTGTCCACTACTGTAAGGCGAGATGAGCGGAATGGGAGAAAGCTAAATGTAGTAGAACAATAAGCAATAAGAAAAATATAGCAATAGAACAGAGATGCCACAGGGAAAAACAAAGAAACCGGATAACAAATGAATCTGAGAGAGATAGGCAAACAGGGTTTAAAACAAGATAAGGTATAAAAAATAAAAATAAAAAAGCAAGAAAAAAAAACAATATAGCAAAGCAGAACATACATTTGAAAAAAAATTAATAAAATAGAAAAATAGAGAAAGGCTTTTCTTGCAAGGCAGAAATAAAATATGTGAAACAAACCTTTAAATCTGCCCTGAAGTGGTCTACTCTGCTCACTCCCTCTCACAGCAATGACACTAATAATGTAGTCCTTGGAAGGGTTGTAGTCCGGTATTATAACTCTCGTGTCAGATTTAGACACAAACATCTCCTTCTGCTGCCCACCTGAAACATAAGAAAGGTGAAGAAAATGTAAACATGCAGCCGCAAGAAGCGAATAAAAAACATAAAACTATGTTTTATCACAAGTCATAGAATACAATGCAAACTCACATGAAGAGGCTATTTAATATTCTATTCAAGGTTAGAATAAATTACTCTTTATGGAGATATTTGTCTGGCATGGACGATCTAACTGCAAATACAAGCAGTTAAATGCAAATAGAAAAAGGAAGGCTGGTCCTGTCTTTAGTCCTCTGTTTGTTTTTTCATGCTGTTATTGGTCTTCTGGATAAACCTTAAACAAATTGTTAAACCAACACAGGAAAACAATGTAGTAAAATCATACTACAGTCTAACATGAGAGCACAAAGCTTCAGTTACGTGTTTCCGCACTGTTGGTGGAAACAAGAGTAAAGTAAAGTAGTAGTAAAATCACAAACAGTCATGAGATAAAGTAGAATTGTATATATAATCACTTGACTGGATTGATATATAATGCCCCTCTGGAGATTAGTTTACAGTAATAATAACTTTAAATGGAGTTAAACTAGAGTCTTTTTTTTGTGCGTTTGTGTCTGCCTACTTTTTCTCTGTTCCCCTTCCTGCTATCAGTAAAATGAAAACACACTGAACCAGGGAGATTATTGCTCGGGATGGTGCTTGCAGATCAGATGAGGAGCTTCCTTTGCCGATAGACAACAAACTAGAAGCTCAGTATGTTTAAAAGAAATTAGAGAGCCCTGGTGTCAACAGCCGCATTGACTAAACATGTTTAGTATGCATTGCAACACTTTGAAATGAAGTAAAACTGTTCTGGGAACCTTACAAAATCTTAAGAATTACATCTGCTTTACATTTATGTCTTTAAAGGTTTGAATGTCTGCAAAGTTTTAATTCAAAAGGTGTGGTAGGGTAAACGCCTGGACTGAAATACGAGTTCTCTGCAAACTACACCATACGTATCTGGTGGGGTTCAGGCTGATCCTCTGATACTACTGATAATAATATGTATATCTCAGTACATGAAAATACTATGTCAATTGACCTAATTCAATATTGTCGTTATTGTAAATCCTCAATATCTGCCATGGTGCTCTTCCTCTACAAAAAGTAGATTCCTATACAGCTTATCCTGGTTTATTCCACACAACATATTTCCAAATGAAGGTATGTCAGCTGTATGTTTATCTACTTGTAGCACTGTACCAGCAAAGCAAATTCCTCAAATATGTAAAAGTCTACTTGGCAATGAGGCTTTTCATGTTGGACCAAGTTACTTAAGCATAACTATCACAAACTGGTTCCAACCATACCACCAAAAACTAGCCATAGAGGGAATTTTAAGATCAAGAGAGTAACCCTTGCACCAAAATGAACAGATTTAAAAAGAACATGACTCCGCCATGACTTCCACGCGCGTCCTCCTGAGTGCAGCAGCCGGGCGGCAGCGGCAGGTTCAGCGGTGAGAGGGAGGGGGCGGGATTCAGCGTGTGTGAGCTGTGATTGACACTCCATCAGACGCTCCTCTGGCTGTGATTGGTTGTTTTGTCTCGTCCCGAAATATTTTTTCCAGATTGCAATACAGGCAGTAGGCGGGACCAATTGAAGCAGTTTTTTTCACAGGTTACATATCACATGTACTGCTGTCTGGGCATAGGGACAGTTTTAGCCAATATGACAAAAAAGTGATTTTTAAAAACTTACAGACTTCAGCTTTAAGGGCATGTTTTAGTCCTGTTGATATTGGTGTATAGAACAAAGTCCCTGAATGAAAAAAAAGAACCTCAAGATTTAGCTTTAGCTATAAATTAACAGCTACTATTGGAATTTTGGTTAAATATCTGACAGCTTGGTTCTCCCACATGCCAGCAAGAGAAATACAAGTAATTACCAAGTAACCCGAATCAATAACTCTTATTTATATTAAACATGGTTTAATTAAGCTCTAGTAAATAAGTGATCAAGAATCCAGTCAAAATACTAAGTATGTATGTTTCTATGTATGTTTATACTTGACCCATCAGATGATTTTACACTGAATGAATTAGACAATAAATCTAAGCAAAAGTTTTCGTTTTTGAAATAAACTGAATTAGGTGTTGTTTTATTGCATTTTATAGAGAATCCCACAGCATAAAGAGGTAGAAATTCAGCCAAGGAATAAATCAACCACAAGGACAAACCAATTTTAAGTGAAAATGGCTTGGAGCATGAGTAGGAGTAAGAATTATCCAGCAAGTCATTTTTCTTCTGTGAAATCAATATCATCTTCATTAATGAAAATCATTTCATTCTTTTTCTTTTCATAGAACCAGTATGTTGGATCAGCTTGTAACAGAGGCAAAAAAAAAAAAAAGAAAACAGAACACCATTCACAACTATGGCTGTTCCTCAGCTATCTCAGCCTGTCCTCCAACATGAGTTAATAAGGTACTCTGCTACTGTGCCATTGATATATTAGTCCCACTTTTAAAAATCTGCTGATAGGCCCCATATATTTAGAAGAAACACTCCCCCGTACTCCACTATTTGGCAAAGTTGCAGAACAAACTTTGGGGTCTACAGATCTCCCAGAAGGGAAATTCTTTCAAAGCAGTTTTGATAAGAAGTAAATTGCATAATCCTTCTTGGCAGATTGAAAACACAGTTTCTAATTCTTTCCTCAGGCGCATGCACTTGCACTGCTCTTTGACATAACATTTTATCTGCTTGTGTGTTCTCCGTTCATGTGTGTGATCATACCTGGTAAGCTGTTGTAGAGAAATAAATAGCTGTCAACATCTCCTTTGGGCTCCCTCCATGAAACAAGAAGTCTGCTGGAACTGTGCACTTTGAAACGCAGCCTCCTTGGAGCTGAAACTGGAGAGAAAGTTAACATATAAAACAGATGCAGGGATAAAAAAACAAATGCATAAAAAAAATTCTGTCTAAAAAAAGGAAACATCCTTGACACATTTCAAACCATCATTAAACACTTGTTAAAAAGAATTTAGCAAGAATCTGAAATCTAGAATAAAATATAAGACTCAACAAGGAAATGATTAAAAGGAGGGAGAAATTAGGAGTTACTTTTAGTTTGGGTATTCATACAGCCATTAATTCACAATGCCTTACAAACAAACATATTCTACCCCCTGAAGCTGCATTGACTCTTGTAACATTTGTTGTAATCCATATGGATGAAAAACTTGGATTACCTCTTTTATGAGTGACATTTTTAAAGCTGGAGGGTTCAATCAACTATCTTATAAGGGCAAGTAATTCACAGAGCTACACACCTATGTCCATTTACATAGGTAAAAAGAATATTATGAAAAATATTCAAAGGAGCCATATAGTTAGTATAGTTAGCATAGTTAGTAATGCAGAATAATTTTTTAAATAGTTGTGGAATCATGCATTCAGAAAAAAAATGGCTGATTATAGAAAATTAGTACAATAATAACAACTATCTATTAAGGAAACACATCAAATAAATGGAAGAAGGTATTTTGATCAGAGCAGACCAAAACTAAACCCCTTGACCTTCATCAGAAAAGCTATCTGCACCAAAACAACAAAGCCGCAGTACTCAACATCTTTATGGTGAAGTATGACTGTGGAAATACATACTTCAGAGACAGGAAAGCCGGTCAGAGTCTGAGTGAAGATAGATTGGAGCTAAAGACGTGTCAGCTCTGAATAAAAAAGTCATAAGAAGCCAAAAAAGATGGATTCAACCTAAAGCTGGGAGCATCTGAATATACAAGCAGAGGTACAAAGGACCGGATTTGAACGACTGATATCCAAATGCCACAGTGGCCCAGTCAAAGTCTGAATATAAATCAGAAGAACCCATCAAGCACTTGAATATTACTGACTAGAGACATAGATTCCATCCAGTTTGACCGAACTTGAACTATTTTGCAGTGAAATAGAACAAATTTTCGGTTTGTAGATGTTAACAATAAAGAAATGGGGTGTCTAAAAAAAAATTAAAAGCACAAAATCTGAAATTACTTGTGTAAAAGGCAAGTTAACAATAGGAATTAAGGTTGCAATGCAAAGTTGGAGAAATAAAATCAGAGATTACCTTAAAAGTATCTAACTTTTTCTAAAATTTTCACATCTGTTACTTGCCGCACATATGTGGCCCAAAAGACTTGGAGCTGCAATCTCTTCTGGAGTATGTGATTTGATTTTTAAAAATGTATATGATTTTCCTTCCATAGCTATGCTCAAATGGTGTAGGTCAATAGAAATAAAATCAATGTTATGGCTGTAATGTGATTATATCTGGATAATAGGGATAATAATGTAATAGGGAGTGTATACCCTAACAGTTTAGTCTATTCCATATTGCTGGAATATTTCTATGTTGTTTATATTTATGCAAAACAAATAATGCATCTACGGCAGAGATATTTAATTGAATATGAATCAAAATGCCATCTATGTTGTATGTATTACTTGTTTTAGTGTTTGGCATCTTTTACACTAAAGCCTTCCATTTTCCCTGTTGTGTGGATTTTAAACTTAAGGTTATATCCCGTGATGCATCCATCCGTGGTTAATATTTACTTTATATTTAGAAAGCATAATGTGCCCTGATCCCAGTGCTCCTTCCTCTGAGCCCACATGCTACCCCTAGCCCACAGAGTCTTTGATGACCACATTGATTTTAGGTTTTTATTTCTGAGCCTGGAGTTCAGCGGTTGGCTGCTAATATCCTGGTTTCTGGGTCCAAGACTGACCATGTGTGAAAGAGAAGGGGGGGCGTTAATGCTGGATTTTCTATACTTCTGTAATGGTAGCTAGACCCTGAAATTACTTCATTTCAAACTTCTGCTCAGATAGAGCAAATGGACAAAATTAGTTTGGTCTTAAATTTTTTGTTTAACTCTCCATAAAAAAATGTTAACTTAAAATCTAGAAACTCAGTATTATGCGAATGTTTGATTGGTGAGATATTTGTTTCATTTACAATGTAATGATTACAAATTGTTTATAAACTAATAAATAAACATTTGTGGAAAAAAGTATAAAATTTAACATTCAAAGTGAACATTTAAATATCCACAAAGATGTTTATTTGGAGTACAAATGGGAAAAGGGCCTTCCCAGGTTGCCACCTTGTGCTTTTGATTTGCATCATAATTATATTTTGAATAGTATGCCTTTTTCTCTCACTTCCACATCCAAGCCTGCTTACTTTTGGCTCCTGCATTCAACACTAAGCTAACTAATAAAATAACTAGGTCCAACAGTCATGCTAAAAATATGTGTTTTATTAATTAATGTTTAGTTTTCCTTAAGCAAGTTGTATCATCTGAATCTGTACAAGGGAATGTTTTTATGATGTATAAACAGAAAATGAATGTTGTTCAAATTAAAAAAACACAACACACACACACACACACACACACACACACACATGTTGTGTCACAATATCCTTGTGGGGACCTTCCATTGACTTCCATTCATTTCCCACTAATTCATATGGCCTAACCATGACCCTTGCCCTAACCCTAACCATTACCGACACATACCTATCCCTAAACCTAACCTAAACTCAATTCACACCTTAGTCCTAAACCTAACCCCCTCCCCAAGAAGAGAAAGTTTCCTTGTGGGGACCAGTTGTTGGTCCCCACAAGTACCTATGAATCCCCAAAATGTAGCATATTCCTAGGAAATTGTCCCCACCAGGTATTAAAGACATGGCCACACACACACAAACACATAAAGTCGTGTTTTCATGACTTATGGGTACTAATGGTACATTTAATTGACTTACGTTCATTTTCTATGGCCTAACCCAGACCCTTACCCTAACCCTAACTATTACCAACATATACACAAGCCTAACCCCAACTTAAAGAACAGCTTTACCTTATGGGGACCAGGACATATTGTAGGTCCTTATAATCTGTGTAAACAAATTGAAGGCCCCACACCATCTTAGAAACAAGTCCACACACACCCAAATACACTATATTGCCAAAAGTATTTGCTCACCCATCCAAATTATTGGAATCAGGTGTTCCAATCACTTCCATGGCCACAGGTGTATAAATTCAAGCACCTAGGCATGCAGACTGTTTTTACAAACATTTGTGAAAGAATGGGTCGCTCTCAGGAGCTCAGTGAATTCCAGCGTGGAACTGTGATAGGATGCCACCTGTGCAACAAATCCAGTCGTGAAATTTCCTCGCTCCTAAATATTCCACAGTCAACTGTCAGCTGTATTATAAGAAAATGGAAGTGTTTGGGAACGACAGCAACTCAGCCACGAAGTGGTAGGCCACGTAAACTGACGGAGCGGGGTCAGCGGATGCTGACGCGCATAGTGCGAAGAGGTCGCCAACTTTCTGCAGAGTCAATCACTACAGACCTCCAAACTTAATGTGGCCTTCAGATTAGCTCAAGAACAGTGCGCAGAGAGCTTCATGGAATGGGTTTCCATGGTCGAGCAGCTGCATCCAAGCCATACATCACCAAGTGCAATGCAAAGCGTCGGATGCGGTGGTGTAAAGCACGCCGCCACTGGACTCTAGAGCAGTGGAGACGCGTTCTCTGGAGTGACGAATCGCGCTTCTCCATCTGGCAATCTGATGGACGGGTCTGGGTTTGGCGGTTGCCAGGAGAACGGTACTTGTCTGACTGCATTGTGCCAAGTGTAAAGTTTGGTGGAGGGGGGATTATGGTGTGGGGTTGTTTTTCAGGAGCTGGGCTTGGCCCCTTAGTTCCAGTGAAAGGAACTCTGAATGCTTCAGCATACCAAGACATTTTGGACAATTCCATGCTCCCAACTTTGTGGGAACAGTTTGGAGCTGGCCCCTTCCTCTTCCAACATGACTGTGCACCAGTGCACAAAGCAAGGTCCATAAAGACATGGATGACAGAGTCTGGTGTGGATGAACTTGACTGGCCTGCACAGAGTCCTGACCTCAACCCGATAGAACACCTTTGGGATGAATTAGAGCGGAGACTGAGAGCCAGGCCTTCTCGTCCAACATCAGTGTGCAACCTCACAAATGCGCTTCTGGAAGAATGGTCAAAAATTCCCATAAACACACTCCTAAACCTTGTGGACAGCCTTCCCAGAAGAGTTGAAGCTGTTCTAGCTGCAAAGGGTGGACCGACGTCATATTGAACCCTATGGATTAGGAACGGGATGTCACTTAAGCTCATATGTGAGTCAAGGCAGGTGAGCAAATACTTTTGGCAATATAGTGTATATATATGTAAATATATATATATATATGTAAAGATTCGTCCGAAACTGATAAATAATGAAATTGTTTGCCTTCATTTCTTACTATAAATCAATCTCTGCCGACTAAAATTCACACCACCCCAGCAAATGCAAAAATATTTCAATCTAATACTGCAGGGCTGAAATGTAAAAATCATCCTCCCAAAGTCAGTTTTTATTACTATATTTTCTTATATTCTAAAACTGCAAGCATTTAGAGTACAAACATTTTAAAACAAATCTTATTATTTTTGGTCAAATATTTTAGGGGAAAACATGTTATTTCTTTTATAAACAGTAGTTAATGTGCTTGTTTAACTTTATCTTAACTTATTCATATAAGTCTCAATTATTAGGCAGAGCAAACAAAGGAGGGCAGAAATAACATCCTCTTATAATTCTTCATACTCAACTGTAATTTTCATATGCATCAAGAAATATCTGGTTCTTAAGAAGCGACAGTGCGCCACCTATCCAATATTCTTAAAGCATGGTCTGAAAAGGTATAATTATGCCACACAATAAAAATCTATGAATAATTTTAAGTGCATGATAGCTCTCAGAAGATTAATACCTTGGTATCACTTAGTGTGCTTGATGGTAGGTGAAGTGAGTAGGTAGG